AGCACTATCAAAAATACGTTTTTTCCCGCCAATTCAAGGGAAGGTGAAATCAGAACTAGCAGAGCCATCTATGGAAAGAGATATTTCACAAAAATATAAAAAATGAGTACTGCATTTCCCCCATTTTTTGTTCATTTTCCCCGGCGGCAATGGGTTAATATTATTATTAATATTATTATTATTATTAATATTATTATCATTAATATTATTATTATTAATATTATTATTATTATTATTATTATTATTATTATTATGACTATTATTATTATTATCATCATTTTTCTATCATCATTATTATGATCATGACTGTTAACATCATTAGTATTATTACTGATATTGTTCTCCAAATTATCATTATAATCATTCTATAATACTGATATTTTTTTCTTTTATAATTGCCATTGCTTTTAAATGGCTTATCAGAATTTTTTTCTGTTTTTAATAATTACACTCTGATGACCTCCACACTATATTTTCATTTCAATTTCAGTAATACTAACAGTTAATCCACACTTATAAATTTCCTTTTCACAACAAAATAAAACATATTCCAGTACGACCACCATGGCATTACATTTCCATCACCTAAATAGAAAAACTTCAGCCTTTTAGCTTTTACCTTTGACATTCATCAACAGCTATCTGATGCTCCTCTTTTGAAACAGATTCCTGTAGTTGTTGCTGGAGCTTCTTGCACTGCCTCTCCAGTTGGCCAGCTTCTGTCCTCAGGGAATCTAGCTCTGAAGACAGAGTGCCCACTCTTGTTTCGCTATCTTCAAGATGCTGCTGTAGTTTTGCAACTATAATTTTAGGGTAGTGATAAAAAGGTCATGTTAATTACTTGCATTTAATTGTGGTGTTTATATTAGGTAAACCAGGCAGAAATACATTTGCATACTGCTTCAAGTTCTCCAGTGACATCACCTGATTTCATCTTGCCTGAAGTTAAAATCAGCTCTTTCTCACCTCTCTGTTGATAACTAATAGACTCTTCTTGTTGCTGCTGATGGAGAGTGCGAACTTCTTGGAGTAGCAACTCACGTTCTTCTAACAAAAGTTTGGCATCTGCAGCAACCATTTCTGCTTCCTCTGATCCCATTGGTGCCTGAGAAAAAGAATATCATATATAAAAATCAAGAAATCAGATCAGAACACCAGTTAAAGATGGAACTCCCTATTTTGTGATGTTAACTTATTGTACTACTTACTGTAAGGGAAGTGGTTGCATTATTGAGGTATGCAGAGAGTAAGGATAATGACACAAAAAGTTCAAAATGGTCCATAACCTAAATATTTGGATTGAAAATCTTCCAATATTTACATAAAAGCATAATGACTTTACCTCTAAAAATATACATGCAGATATTAAACTTATCCTTATATAAGCCTTATATCTTGTGACTGAATTACTGGTGAAACAAACTCATCTCCTGTTCACTGTACTTTACCTGGAAATTAAATCCCATTCTTCTTGAAAGTCCTTTAACAGTAATCAAAAGAACACGCATTACTACTTATAGTTCCTGACGAGTAGTCAATGCTTTCCAATAACATGGAACTATACAACATATAAAAGTGGAACTACATATTTATACCCTCCCCAACATACACACACACAGATAAATCTTGCCATACATAAGGTGAGTTGGTCTGTGCTTGACTAGATATAATTATAAATTCACACTTTTTTCCAACTTATTTTATGGCATTTCAAATTAGCATTATATACTTTTACACTTTCTTCAAGAGCACTTATAGCATCATTTTTTCTTTATCTAGTAGTAAGAGATGGAATATCCAAGAGAAAAAAATATATTCCCACTCTTATTGGTTTCAAATCTGAAGAAATAGCCACTATGGCAGAACTTAAATTTATATGATATAATAGTTTTATATAAATTACACTATATATACTTAATTTCCACTTTCAAGGTAGTACTCACTTCCTGTTGCAGCTTCTTAACCCGTTGATGAAGTTTTTCATTCTCAGCTGTTACTGCATCGACATTTACCATTAACTTTTCAAATTTCTCCAAGTTGGATCTGAAAAAGGTAAGATAATGACATACACATACATAGATTAATATATAGATAGATACACAGATAGATAGGTAGATAGATAGATAGATAGATAGATAGATAGATAGATAGGGAAAAATGCACTTTCAAGACTGGTAATGACTGGCAGTATGAAACATAATAATGTAACTATTTTGAACAGATAAATATATTTTGGAAAGGTACCACTAGAAGCACCTCCAGATGTTTTGGAGAATTTTTTGTAGTGGCTGCCATAATCACTAGTTTTTGATATGCAAGTCCACAAACCAACAAGAGCATTAAGATCCAAAAGTAATCAGCATGTGTATATATACACATATATGTCTTCACATATATGTGAATGGCATACTAAGAAGCAAGACTAGAGAGTTCATTACTCACTTTAGTGCTTCATCTCTTTCCAAAATGATCTCATCATAGGCAGTGAGGAGAGCACCCAATTTGTAGATGCTGTCATGTTTCAAATCTTTCTTTATACTCCCTATGTTTTCTTCTCGTATTCGGCCATACTTTAGATGATATCTGGAACAATGCACATGAATTACTGACAATTGTATACTAAAAGCTATTTATCAGTTGCACTTAAACTTATAAATCCTTTACAAATCATCATGTCTCCAACATCTTTTAAACATCCTACTCCATCCTAGCTAAGCCCTCTCTGCAAAGGGAGTAGTAGTTCATATGAACAATACTAACCCATTGCTACTAGATACATGTAACGTCCACTGTAGCTTTGTTTTGTGTGAATTTTGAATATTGTTTCTGTCATTACTGTTGTTATTAACAGTGTGATCATTATTATCATTATCATTAAGAGTATCATGACTAAGACTATGGCCATGACCATTACTGACATTGTAATTATCAACAGGTACTAACTGCAACAAAAATAAGATAAAAGTTTGCTGAATATCATATGGTGATTAAGCAGTTTTGGAAACATCTATGTGTACATAAAATTAATAAGATAAAGTCAGAGTGGCCTTGACATGCATGTACATGCCATCTTGGTGTCACTGGGTTAAGAATTACCTATTCAGCTGTTCATTTAGTCGCTTAATAACATCTTTCAGAACTTCTGTATCATTATTGCAATCTTTGATTTCTTGTTTTAGTTTTCCTATAAGCTTTGTATTCTCATTTTCTTTTTGCTGCAAAGCTTTCTCCACTGCACATTTTTCAGAAATCTGGGCTTCAATCTTGTTGGTCAGCTCCTGCACCTCTTTCTCAAGACTGGATATCTTGGCATCTTTATTACTTGGCAAAGCATTATCAGAACTAGCACCTGTAAAGTATATAAAATGTTATGATGTACTCACTTTGTTGATAAATAAAACATCTTTAACATCAATACTAAATATAATTGTGCACTACACAGTCACACAAATAAATAATGTTTAGCATATTATTCAACTGCAAAATTATACCTTTATTCATTACCTTGTTGTGAAACTCCACTTCTTTGCTGTGTTGTAAGCAACTGTGAAAGAATGTTGTATTCTCTACTTAACTGCTCTAACCGCAGTATAACAGCTCTTTCATCTGCCATTTTGTTCATTCACTCTCTTGCCTACTAATGCTGCTGTAAGAAAATGTTTCATTAAAGTAAACATTGCAATATTGTGGCCATTACTGTGGTAGATTAATAAACAAAATATGCTGAATATTAATTCAATGTATTACTGACTATTTTTTTCAAATATTTTACTTTCAAATAAGATGACAAATTATTTACACACAATAATGGTAAATAATATACCATAATTATCAGCCATATTTTAGGTCATAAACACCTAGTCCACAACTCATAAAACACTCCTACAACAAAGCACAATATTCCAAAGTACACTGCAAGGCAATAGCTCTGATATTATTTTACAAATCAAACTAGTGAATACTTGATTATTCCAAGAAACCAATATGGATTATACCATTTGCTTTATGTTGAGATTGATATCTTACAAAATTTAACCACCACTATCTAAACATGAGGATTATTTCCAGCAAGTTACATATTCAATATCTTTGGTTTAATTTTTATTATTGAACAGACAATTGCATTTAGCAGAGCAATCTTCCAGATTCTGTTGTGTCTGCACAAAAGTGTTAGGTCTTTCAAAAACTGCCTGGGAGGAAATTTTGAAAACCACACTATAATTTGGTGTCATCAGGATGATAACAATCAACAAGGAGTAGAAATAATATTGATTCAAATATAGATATGCAATACAAGTTTGTATGGTCAGCACCTAATTTGGAAGGCCAAAGTAGAAATATTATACAACCTGCTCCAATTTATTGTACAACAGAAGTTGATAACATTTATGATAGTTTAGGGCAACTACTATTTACACTTTTGAAATATCTGTTATATATCAAAATTCCACTACACACATAAATTATATGACACAAAAAATTGAAGGAACCTTCTATACTTTGTCACTAGCACAAAGATGCCTTTGTGCATTTAGTACATATTTTACCTGCAGTTCTAGATCACTGCAAAAGCCTAAATTGTCCGGGCTGTGACAACTTATAGATAGAAAAAAATAAGCAATAGTACAGAATAAAAGAAAAAAAATAGTGGATGACAAACAGGAAGTCATTAAAAAAAAGGCACTTTTCATCAAAAGATGCGCAAATCGAAAATAAAAGAGAAACATGACAGAGAAGAGAGAAGATCAGTCCAAGCTTTATCTTGATAAAATATATATATATATATATAGATATATATATATATATAGATATATATATATATATAGATATATATATATATAGATATATATATATATATTATATATATATATATCTATATATATATATATCTATATATATATATATCTATATATATATATATATCTATATATATATATATCTATATATATATATATCTATATATATATATATTATATATATATATATAGATATATATATATATATATCTATATATATATATATATATAGATATATATATATATAGATATATATATATATATCTATATATATATATATCTATATATATATATATCTATATATATATATATTATATATATATATATAGATATATATATATATAGATATATATATATATAATATATATATATATAATATATATATATATAGATATATATATATATATATATCTATATATATATATATATCTATATATATATATATCTATATATATATATATATATATCTATATATATATATATCTATATATATATATATATAATATATATATATATATAGATATATATATATATAGATATATATATATATATATAGATATATATATATATAGATATATATATATATAGATATATATATATATATATCTATATATATATATATCTATATATATATATATTATATATATATATATAGATATATATATATATATCTATATATATATATATATCTATATATATATATATATCTATATATATATATATCTATATATATATATATATATATATCTATATATATATATATAGATATATATATATATATATATATCTATATATATATATATATATATAGATATATATATATATAGATATATATATATATATAGATATATATATATATAGATATATATATATATAGATATATACATACATATACGTATGGATGTATATGTATGTATATATATATATATATATATATATATATATATATATATATATATATATATATATATATATGCATATGTATATACGTACATATGTATGTATGCATATATATATATATATATATATATATATATATATATATATATATATATATATAAATATACATACACACACATATATATATATATATATATATATATATATATATATATATATATATATATATATATATATATATATACATGTACATAAAGATGAAAAGCAAAACAGCCACAATAAGATATTGAACTAAATTGTAACGTTTCGATACTTAACGAGTTCCCCCTCAGACGATCTTAACGAGTTTCCGATCAGACGAATAATTAACTGAAATGGATACACAGAGAGAATTTTGACAAGATTATATCTGGTTTTAGACTAATCTAAAAATAGACTAATCTAAAGATGTTACTGGAAGTTGATTGTCAAGTCATTAACGCAACACAACAGTATGAAGGAGAAATTATTTTCTTGACTCTGTAATTGATAATACCATTCTTGGGTTGGTGACAGCAATTACCTCTTATAACCTCTCTAATTGAAATGGCCTAGTTGATGAATAAAATAAATAAATAGCTAAGCATAGGACATTAGAGCATCCTTTGTCTCTTTGGCAATTGTTGACGGTCTGACCTACATGAAAAGAGTCTGCACAGTTCTTAAACAAATTTTCTTTCAAGAATTTTGAACAGGACAGGGGTGAACAAGATGGCCCTAATGCCTTTAGTAATAGGGTCATGGAAGCTGTCGTAACTGGGGTGATCAGCTGTCACATTAATATTGGAGGAATGTCGGCCTGGGGATTTACTCTGTGCAACTCTTCATATGGTGATACACCTGGCTTTGACTTTTGCTACAGGTAGGGTAGGTAACTCGGGTGTTTACAAAGGAGATAGCTTGTTTATTTTTCCTTGGGTGGGAAATATACTGGGCGAATTGCCAGTATAGTGATTTCATGAGGCATCCATCTAGACATGGGCTGTCTATTACAAATTAAAGTGTAGCACGGGATTGTTGTATAACAAGCAATTCTGCAACATCCCGCTCTTGCGCATTTTGCAGCATGATTAGTTCCCGTAGAGCTTTACAGTGTCACGTAGAGGCGATGCTCACGTTAACTAATTCAATAGCGACAGCATTTTGTTGTATTATGATGCTAATTCTTTGTATTCTATTCCTGAGGCAGCAAATATTCGCAAGATAAATGCCAGGAAGTATTCTGCTTCGTCTCACTTTGGTGGGTGACTTATAAATGACTCGATTTGGTTTTGAATGCATTTGCGCCGTCCACCTGAGGGAGGTTAACAAGAAAATGATTTTCTTAGACTGCCTCCTCTGTGGTTGCGTGTCATTTTGTTATGTAAAAGTAAAGAACTTCTGGTTAGGATTATTTCTCTGCTCTCCTTTTATTTTTCCCTTTATAATTTATAATACATGCGCAAAGGTATCGACATTAAATTCGTCTTCAGTCTTGTGTGCGTTGACTGCAGTTATCTCTCAGACTGGGAAATACCAAGCACTTAATAATAATTTGCAACATAATTATCATTACCGGTTTACTGCACAAGTTCCTTTTTTTCGTCACTCCGCCTGCTCCTCCTCTGGCTATTCGTTACAGCGAGTGAGCGTTCCCTTTGTTCATTCCTCTTCTTTGTAGGAAAGAAGAACGACAAACTCAGTTAGCGCAAACTTGTAGGCACATAAGAAGCAACAGAAATGTTAATTAACCCAGTGCTACCGGGGAAAATTAATAAAAGATGGG